TTAGTTATAGATCAACGAGCACGTAACTGCTTAAGTAAAATGTGCGTTTGCATATGGTATATATAAACTCACGGTGACATACAAACCCCCGCAAATGGGAGAGATAGGGTCAAAGAGTTCAAGGTACCAGAGCAGCCTTCAAACTGCGAAACAACGATTATTATGCTTGACACGGCAAAAGACATTTTTCCTGCATGTCAGTTACGTATTTGTTAAAAAACACAACATACGTGGCCGTTTTTTATGTCTGGTTACTGCCGATGACGAGCTTTAAATTCTGAATAAATCACATCATACTAACATAAAATAATGTCATCCCGCTGTCTCACTGTCCTTATGTATGCTTAGATCTTTAAAACTACGAAACGGATCTTGATGTGGTTTTTTTACTAGATAGAGTGATTCAAGAGGAAGGTTTATATATATATATATATAATACATTGCACCAGTCCGAAGCCGGGGCGGGTCGCTTGTGTGGTATAAATTTAAATAATTTTTGTGGCTAATATAATTGATATCAAAGTTTTTAATAGCGGTTTAGTTAATACAGAAATTTTAATGTGTCACATATCGTCAAAATAGTTAACGTTACTAGAATATTTTCTCGGAATCAGGTAATTTCCCTCGTTCAGCGCAATTTATACTTTCAAGGTTGAATTAATGTTATGAAAATATTACTTGGTGGTAAATTTTAACCGTGACGTTGTTCATGTTTTATTATAAATTACTTAACTGACCCTTGTAACGATCTCCACCATAATGAAATAAATAATCAATGCAAGTTATTAATTACTTGCATTGATTGCTTGTTTCGTCGTTATGGTGGAGATGATTACAAGAACCTTTGTAACCTTTATTACGAATAAAGGTTACAAAGGTACTTGTAAGAAGACTTAAAAATCTTATTTAAGTTGGACACTGCTTTAATTCGCCTTAGACTTTTATCGTTGCAATAGGCGTCATAGTAAACAACTTAAAGCATTTTCTCCTAACTTACATAAGATAGTTTTTGGTACGTTGGTTCGATTCTCAGTTCTATTTTTCTACAGAGGCGTATGATATTTAAATACTACGTATGATATATAATACATAATATGTAATATTCCCTTAATTGAAGTCAACTAGAAATACTATCAACAAAACACTTTTTGTAATAATATAAGGGTATTTTTGATAAAATAAAAGACAATTTTGTAAGAATAATTTCCATCTATCAACAATTTAGGGAATTAAAAAATTTGAAACCTAAAATTGTAATTAAGGACGGTTCAAAAACTCGTATCACGGCCATAATTTCAAGTCAACACTAGAAATTAAATTGTCAAATAATGGTTGTGTGGTTGTACACCAAACATGCCTCCGCAAAAACAAGTGTTGTTCGTTAACGACGAAATTGAGAAACTTTGATAACAATTACTACAATCAGATGACGTCCCGAACAACGAAAACTATATTTAAACTATTTTTGGTCCTATAAGTCACCAAAGAAAATGTATACTGAAGTGGTGCAGTAGCAGTTTCACACGTGAAAAAACTGTTCTATAACACACTCCATGTATCGATGACGCAGGTCTCAAAATCGTTATACAGCGTGTCGTTACAACCGCGACAATAAATGAACACACATATAGAGGATAACTTTTTTAAATTGTATTAACCATTTACATTCTTTAAACATCAACATTCACCGAGTTATTAAATTTTCCAAAACAAACAATTTCAGAACACCTTACCTTACGTATAAAACTGTAATGTAAAGTTCATTTGTAAAGGTCACAAAGCATATGAATGGGTTGAATGAATTTAAAAGGGATAAAACATACTGTTAGAAGGAGAGACTTGTAACGTGACGCTGCGGCAACGAATGAAAAAGTCTCTGAATGTATGAATCAGTCAGTTGTAGCTGTATAGGATGTTACAAATTTTGTTTCTTCTTATTTAATTAATTTGTTTGATTTTTTTTTTAATTATGGATATATTTATTATTTATTATTATGGATTATTTTGTATTTTTTTTATGATTATAAGCAAGTAGCGTTAGACGTGTGTTCATTTATTGTCGCGGTTGTAACGACACGCTGTAAAATGACAACAGGTCCAGAACAACATATAGGTCCTTTGATAGTACTTTTTATACTGTACAAAAGTTTAAAGCAAGCGCCAGGATACGCTATTACAACAAACAGATAGATTTCTTCAATTTTGTATTCCATCATATAATAGTCTAAGTCCGGCTGCAGAATTACTACTCATCGAGTATATGCTAAATTCCAATATATGTGATAAGAAGAATAAGTATATATTAACCGTGTTGCCTGTCAAAATGTGGCCCCTAATATTTTTTATTTTATTATTGTTAATTGATGTTTGGGAAACAATTCATTTACTTGCTTTTAAATAAAATATCGTCCACTTCACGTCAATATACATAAAGACTGAAAAATCATGGTTTCCGTTGCGCATTTGACCGCACCTCTTTGCAGCCAGGTGTAAACAGGAATGATTTGTTTTAACATATTGATATGTTTCCGTTCATAACGTACATTTATTATTTATCAAATTAAAGCAAATTTGGTTCTGTGTATTATGATATACGATTGCCTAATTAAATCTGGCCGCAAATAAGGGTTGCTGGCTGTTAAAGATCGCAAATATTTAAGGTGAGTGAAATGGATCTAGCGCGTAACATCACTAGTCAGACGAGGATAGCGATAGCCAACTGTACGACGCTGAAAGGCCATTGCGCATGCGTCGAATACTAGTGCTCTCAGCCACCGCGCCCCGGTTCAAACAGTAGTAGGAATAACTTAATAAATACTCAAATAAAAACGTTTTCTTCTTCAAAATCACAAAATGAAAGCAAGGTTACTTATGTAAGAGAAAATTTTATTTTGCAAGTACTGTTTAAAATAATATTATGCTTATGGAACTACTGAACCAGTGGCAATAGTATACAGCGTGTCGTTACCATCGCGACAATAAATGAACACACGTCTAACGCTACTTGCCAATAATCATAAAAAAATATTAACGTCAAACAAAGTCCATAATTTAAAAATAATATTTTTCAAATAAACTAATTAAGTAAAAAAAGAAACAAAATTTGTTACATCCTATACAACTCACGCCACAGCGTCGCATTAAAAGCCTCTCCTTCTAACAGTATTTTTTATCTCTTTTAAATTCATTCAACCCATTCATATGCTTTGTGACCTTTACAAATTAACTTTACGTTACAGTTTTATACGTAAGGTTGTTCTAAAATTGTTTGTTTTGGAAAATTTAATAACTCTGTAAATATTGATGTTTAAAGATTTTAAATGTTTAATACAATTTTAAAAAGTTATCCTCTATATGTGTGTTCATTTATTGTCGCGGTGGTAACGACACGCTGTATACTATATATTGTTTCTTTTTTCAAATATTGAATCATTGCTCGAAGATTCTAAAATATTGTCACAAAAATATATACGATCGAATTAAGTAACCTCCTCCTTTTTTGAAGTCGGTTATCTCTTATTAATTATGATCCTTGTAATGTTCATTTGTACTGAACCATTTCCCGAAGTTGTTCTTGACTTGATTTTGGGTGCGATTACTCGTTAGATCCTTTATTGAAAAGATTACCACTTTTTCATAATGTTTTTTGACTTCTCTTCTAAATGTTGGCTTTTCGAATTCTTTAATTTTTTGTGATATTTTCTCAATTTTAAGAAAAAAGGTTGCCTGACTTACGCTCAATCAAAATTTCTAAGTGTTGTTGCAAAAACGAGATATAAATTATAATAATTTTCGGGGAAAGATTAAAAAAGTGTGTGTCACTGAACTCCTCCTAAATGGCTGGGCTGACTTTGATGGGATTTTTTGTGTGTCTTCAGGTCGATTCGAGAATGGCAAATTCAAAATTCGGTCCGGTATTTTTTATTATAAATTGTCGGATTTAATTCGTGTGTACAGAAAAAAAGGATTATGCGTTATAGGTATACGCGTTGCCACCTTTTTAATAAATAGGGCCTATTTTATTACAGGCAAAATATAAATGTTTCAAAATTGTCATCTTTCTAAATTGCCTTAAATCCAATTTGGGAAGAGCCACTGAATTATCCTTTTTAAAACGGCATACGAAATAAAAACCTGTCATTCTTAAAAATTCAGCCAAGAGTGAGTCGGACTTGCGCACGAAGGGTTCCGTTCTCTAGAAAAACGGCAAAAAAATCATGTCTATTGTATGGGAGCCCCACTTTTTTATTAAATTTTTTTGTATTTGTTGTTATAGCGGCACCAGAATTACTTTTTTATTCACACACAAAAAAATAGATATCAATAAGCGAATCTAATTATCTAATATCGGGAAACTCACCTAGTGGTCACAATGAGGCAAGACCCATTAACAAATATTAATAATGCGACCTATGGCACCATAAATATTTCTTTAGAAATTCAATTTATTTAGTGAATAGTTAAAAAGTGAAAGTAATGGCTTTTAGTATTGGCCGGGGAAGCTCGAATTACCTTTAAGGTCACGGCTCCCCCAAGCCGATTTCTGACGTACCAACATAACTGTCATATCTGTAACCACATTACGTCAAGGTTAACCACTAGTCTCGTTTACAACTCAGCAGCAGAAGTATATACCAGAAAAACAGAAAAAAAACTCGTAATAAAGGCATAATAAAAATGACAACAGCTTACTCTGTCTATATTTGGATCTAAGGACGCGAGACTTTCACCCGGTTTCTGAAACGCTGATGATCGTAGAAGTCAACTAATCAGCTATCAAATGGCTTTCCAAATGTTATTTAAGTTGCCAAAATGATGGTTAAACTCTCTGAATTGATCAGAATGATCTTCTTAATGATCATAAAACCGGGTGTTAGTTATGAAGTGATTTCAAAACCTTACAAGATATAATATGTTATCAAAGGCTGTTTAAATATTAAACATAAAAAATACAAACACTTAAAAACATTTATTTCGTAGAATTAACTATAATCCCTTTATAAATTCCTTTTCTCCAGTACCACTTCGTAATCGTCTGTCGCCTTCATCATAACGTCAATTTTGGATTTGATATGAGGAACAGGTCCGGATTCCGCCGCGACAACTATTTTATATCTTCTAAGTATCGTCGATAGAGCAGTCTTCACTGACATCAATGCGTACTGGTAGCCTACTTTAATAAAAGAAATCAACTTTAAAATTTGTAGAAAGTTTTTTGAGCATGAGCGATTTTTCGAAATAATTATAAATGTTTTAAAAAATAACATATTTTGGTACTATTTGAATTGCTAATCTGTTTGCTTTAGCACCGGTGGACTCAGGATTTCCCCATTCGATATACTACAAATAGTTATGCAAGGACTGTGTAATGTATCTAAAGGAGGATTGAAGTCGTGCAGAACGCGTGCCGGTCGGAATCTGGTCGGGTCATAAATTCTGTAACATAATGAAATCTTTTACATCTTGAATACTGTCCACAAAAAATATTTATCGAATTTCGAATGTTATACGAAAATAATATAGTGCACTATTTCGATTTTCATTTATTTTTAAATATGGAGTGACGCTTTAAGTAGACCGAGTTGTGCTTATTGCATTGCATCGGTGCTATTATGCACCAAAAGAGAATTTCGAACTCTTGAAAAATTGTAATACAACCAAAAGATTTCTTTTATGGCTCCATGAAACGATATCATTACAATTTAAACGTAGAAGACAAAAAAAGAAGTTCATAGGATCCAGCACTGATTTAAATTGTGAAGCGCGAAGCAAAAGAAATCCTGGAAAACAATTCAGACGGGCTTAAGCAGAACCACAGGTGACCAGAATCAAAATGGATGTTGAATGAAAACTTAGGGCTTTGAGATTGTCAAAGAAAAACGAGGCATTGCTTGAATGCTTTTAATGGATCTGGGACCGTGAAATTCTTTTTTGGATTAGGCAATACGGTGACACTTGGAGGCCTGATCACAGCCTCATCCTGATTTGGAGCTATACCCACCTAAACAGGTATGTTATGACCGCATTTTTCTCAAAAAAAATTTTTGTTGGAAAAAATAAGATATTATTTCCTGTCACGCTACCAATTTAACATATTAAGAATCATTAAGATTCTCAGTTGATTAGGTTGTAATAAATAATCTTAAGTATTTTATTCACATATTGAAATTAATTAATTATTTATTACATTGTAGCCAGTTCCTTATAGCTGCAAAAATAATTAAATTATTGAAATATCTTGCAATAGATGTGTGTAAATGACCGTGATAGCTCATTGTCCGGGCGCTCGCTTTGAATTGAATATGCTTGAGCAACCTAAGTTCGATCCCTGGCGCCGGCACCAATGATATAGTTAATTTTAAGTGCTGACTTATCACGTGTTTAGTGGTGAAGGAAAAAATCGTGAGGAAAGCTGCATATTCTCGAAATAAAAATGATTCAAAGGTATGTGAAGTCCACCAATCCGCATTAGTGCTGCGTGGTGGACTATGCCCTAATAAGGGTATTACGGCAATCATCTATAGAAGGCTATACAGAGGGCGAATTTGTCAAGCAGTAGGACATATTATGTAGGTTATAACTTTACTTTTTAGATGTAAATGGAATTGAATAATGCTAACTTACTCGAATATAATAATACAAAGGAGTATGATATAAAAAACATCGACCAAAAGTACTGGTTGCTGAATATAATGGAAAAGCTACAGAAAGTTCGAGCTAAAAAAAAATCTTGTTCAAAATTTTTTCCACACAATGGCAAATTCATGTGATGTGGAGAAATAACGCTGACCTAGGCAGTTCCTGGGTCCACTGCTAAAAGGCATGTAGCAGCATGGGTGCTGCAGCTTGAAGCGCTCTGGCGAGAACCGATCTGGGTCGAAGCATTCCGCGTCTGGACCCCAGTATTTGGGGTCTCGGTGGATTCCCCAAATACTGACTACTACGCCCGAGCCGGCTGGGAGGATTTTTCCGGAAGCTAATAGAAAAAAAAATCTCGTTATTTTCGCGTAGATTTAAATCGATTTATTTTGCTTTAAAGATCAATATAAAATATGTACACCTTTGGAACGAATTTATGATTATGACACAACTTACGTAAAGTAATGTCCTGCAAAACCTTTCTTATAATAAATGGCACAGGAGGAAATAGTCTAAGTGACTCTTTCACCACTCTTTCCAGGTATTTCAATTTTAATAAATCGTCTTTAATCAATGGTCGTTCCGAGTCACCAAAAACTTCTTGTATTCTAAAAACAAAGATTACACAAAATAGGTTACAGTTTGCATAAGTAGTCATGAACATTGAAGATAGTATTTTAATCTTTAATTTTCTATTGAAGTTATCCTTCTTTTGGCGCGTTAAAGCAAAATGATGAGAGTTTACGATGAGCGCGCACACCATCACGAAAAACCGACACCCTGAAGTTAGCTAGACATCTACGTATGTTTGCGTTGAGAACTGACAACTGTATTCACGATATTTATTTTGTGATATTTAAATGAACTTTATTCAACATTTACATAGTGTGTATAATAAAACTTTCAATGTATTAAATACCTTTTTTATATTGTATGTGTCGCTTTTTTCTATAAAAGTAGAATAAGGCGAATGATAAAATTTTTGAAAAGACTATCTTGTTACGCCAACGAAGTATATTTTTTTAAACATTGCCCTTACCTTTGGATAACATTATACTGTGTAGTAACGACGTTATACAAACATAAATTTCACACGGACGAAACACCCAGATGCAAAACAACTATCTGTGTACACACAAATTAATATCTAGTTGTCCCGTGTGGGGATTGAACCCACACGGGACAACTCGACCGCCGCTGAAGCCCATACCTTGTCAACTGCGCAACGTGAGAGTCATAATAGTATGAATAATCAAAGTCACAAAATACTAATTTCAATTATGAAAGACTAATTAGATATCTTAAAATTTTAAACTAATAAAGAACATTTGGGGTAATGTTTTTTTATTTCATATTTTAAAATACTTTACAAAAGTACTCGCATAACTAGAAATTAGTAGTTTTACAAAAATCAAAAATAGAAGTTTTCACATAAGAAATCGAACTTACTCCTGTACTACTTTATCTTGAATCTTTGGGTACATTCCTAGCAATTTCAGTGTGTACCCAATGGCCACTGCGGACGTGTCTGTGCCGGCGATAGTCAAAGTGAGCACTTCTTCTCTTAATTCTGTATTGTTATATCCCTTTTCACCGCCAGAGAGTCTAATCAGATGATCAAGAAAGGACTGATTCTGGTAGTTCCCCAAATCTGAAATATATAGGATTAAACTCAAATTATGCTATACGTAACTTAGGGTCCAATACATTGTTTTGTCATACATAAATGGCGTACATGTTATCAACTTGCTGACTTCACTTGTATTATAACTGCAAAGAAAAGTATAAAAAGGCCAGAGATCTTTAATAGGTCATCAAAACGGTGCAAATATGCAGTCCTATTAATGAATGCTAAGAACACTTAAATTACGATATGCCCCCAGCATTAAACCTGTTTCTTTTGTAAGCTTATTTAGCTATAATCACAATCGTCTACATTCAATAATTATATTAAAACTATTTTTACAAGTTACCGACCATTCACTATTTATTTTTATTGAGTTGAATATGAAACACAAAATCAATGCCACTTATACACCGGGGATATACAATCAGGGATGGGATTGGCCTTACACGAAACTAGTAGAGACAAATGTAGTATACATACAAAGTTCATAACGTATATGTTTTCATAGTAAATTTAATACATAAATTGTCAAAAAATTGTTACGGCCAGGCGACGATTCAGACTGAAGTCTTCTAACGTCTGCGACCACGGCACCAAAATCTTGACAACTATCCACCTTTATTTGACGTTTTTGGCAATTCAAGAAACTTTACGGGATGCAGACACTATCCAAAAACATTACACATTGACCATTTGAAAGAGACGTCTTCTTCCTTTTTAATTTAAGAGCTAGGCTCTTGTCTGTGCAGCATACATCTCATTCCAGTTGTGCACCCTCCACCTTTCTCTCCTCAAAGCCGTTCCCTTTACCTTCCTATACGACTTAACATTCATCTTCTTTTTAATAATAATTTGTGATACATAGCTTATCCTTAATTTTCCTCTGCTCTCCTTCTTCTATCTTTCCTTGTATGATGTTGTTAATGAATTTGTCATGTCTTAACAGGTGGCCTATCATGTTCCCTATACGATTTACTTTTAAATTCATCAGAGTCAAAACATAGGTGTTGTCGACAATCTTTATCTAATAAACTTAAGTTGAAATTTCATCTTCAGGGCAGATAAGTACTTAAAATAAAAACCAATTACAAAGTAGATCTTATAAAAACATTACCAAACATTTGATCCGTTTCTCGCGGACAAGTTTCCTTGTTTTTTAGTTCTTCTTTACGTTTACATATCACCTAAAACAATCGAAGTATTAAATATTTTATCGCAGTTTTTAACCGACATCAAAAAAGGAGGCGGTTTCTCAATTCGACCGTACATATTTTTTATGGGTGTTCGTGGATATCTTGGTCGTTTATGAACCGATTTTGATGATTCTTTTTTTGTCCGAAAGGAGATATCCCAAGGGTGGTACCATGATAATGAAAGCCATATCTGATTATGGCATCCCAGAGAAATCGAGGGCCATCATTGAATGTTATAGGTATTAACAATGTTTTTAATTTTCTGATTGAAGTCGGTTTTTTTTGTTAAAAATTATTAATTGTTATAATAAGTTGAAAGTTTTTTCTTTTGTTAAAAATTATGTTATATTAAGTTGAAAAATCAGACAAGCCTTTTTATTTTCCTGGATCAACCACTGTTGGCCTGGAGGAAGCCTTTACTGATTGACCGGGTCTTGGGATGTCCGGGAGCTAAGGGCGCCTAGCATGTACCACGATTACGGGTGACCAAGCTCTAGGACTCCAGAGGGACCCTCGGCTCGGGCCGTCAGGCTATTATGACTATTATCGGTTAGAAAGTCTCGCGGTTTGCGGGCACTCCATGCTCCATGCTGATTGATTGCAATAGCCAGCGTAAATAGATGTATACATATGCGTTTCCACTGGTGAGTCAGGTCGCTTTGGTCCCTCTTTAAGATTTGGTAACCACTACCAGTATTGCAGGTTATACATTCTTAGAATTTTTAAATTTTATATCTAATCTTAATTGATCTTACCTCATTAGTGAAATCATGCAACACTTTTACACATTTCTTATATTTTGAGTATTTAGGGAAAAGTTTGTAAAGCCACTCTGGTTGTAGCCATAAGTGAAAAATCCTTTCACACACCAAATTCAGAATCGCTTGCATTGCACTTAAAAATGGAGTCTTTGGATTGTCTTGTGCTTTAATTTTTATTCCCATTACAGTTTCTGAAAACAAATAAAAGTTTATTTATGTAACTGACTATGAACAAATTTTAAGAAAGTTAATAATATTAAAACAACATTTTACGAAGATGAAAAAAGTTATTAATATTGTATATATAAAAATATTTTTATTCTATAGTACAAATATTTTCGCCATATTTAGAAGTATAAGAAATGTACGTAATACAGGTCATAATACCTTGTTGGTGAGTCGTTGTTTCATTATTTAATTTTCTTGCTCAATATCTTAACTGCTTATTATTACTTAACTATTCAAGGCTAAATTTATGAAAGGCTTATATAGGCCATATATTGGCTGATATGGTGCCATTATGGTATGGTGCCGTCGTGAAGAGGAAGTGTAATACTTCCGAGTTTCTTTCAATAACAGTCATGAGTTAATGTCATTTCCAACATGTAGCTAAAGTTATAAATATTTAATGATATTCTGCAATTGTTTTATAAAATAAAAAGTTTTGTTATAAGGGATAGTGAAATGTAAAAAATTGTATTTTAGGAGCGGTCGTTTTTAACTGCTTAATAAACCTCAACAATTTTCTGAAACGCACAAAATGTTTGAAAGACAAAAGATAATTAACTGACTTAATAGTGTGAAAATATTTATTAAATGTTTTTTCAAACATACAGGAGTTAATAAAGCAATCACAAATAAATATTTTTTAGGACACATATTTATAAGACGCTCTCTAGTCCCAAACTAAGCAACGTTTGTACTATGGGTACTAGATAACTGATAAATGTACTTAAACATACTTTTCTTTTGTAAATAAATACATATTATACATGTATAAAGACCCAGGAACTGGAAAAACTCTATGTTAATCACACAATCACCTCTGACGCAGGAGACAGGTACTACCCATTACGCCATTCGGATCGTCAAAATAATGAGGAATTTTTTTAAAACTTTGGACTGGCTTCTTTTACGGCCATATTAGAAGAGTATTAGCTAGCATATTATTAGCATGTAACAATGGTGAGAAATGATAAATATTTCTTCTTATCTCACCTTTTTTATTTTAAAATTATTATATAACAAAACAATGATGGAAAACAAAAAAAATGTCATTGGACTATATGTGGGTTTCAAGGTAAGCTGTAACTGGCCACTTGTTGTGAATGGAAGGTTGAACAATAAAAACAAAAACTCATTTAATGAATCGAGCAATAACAAATGTATAATGAAGAAACCATGGACGTGAAATATATAATAAAAATAAGATTAATAGAACTCAAAAGTGTGGCATAAAAGAAACCATAAAAAATAAAAATTGATTTGCTGAATCGATAGGCTAAGCCAACAGTGGTACTTCGCTGACATCTTATTTTTTTTTCATGTAAGAAAGTTGCAAACGAGCTGGCGGTTCACCTGATGTTAAGTCAATGAACCCATGGACGTATGCTACACCCGAGGGTTCCAGATGCGGTCACAACCTTTTGCAAATTGAACTTAACATACCTAGTGTCATTTGAAGAATTATAGAATTGATTTCAGTTCCCTTGAAAAATTCAATAATACATTCGTTCGCATTCCTGTATGCTGTGCAGCAAGAACATTATCTATGACATATAGTGAAGCTGGCGCTGTGCTACTGTTTGTGGTTAGGCTGACTGAAATGTGGACAGAAAACAGCTTTTCTCCTGATAACCTACCATTTGCACCTATTCTACCTTTGATGATTATTTTATTCCGACCGATTTCGGCCATGGCGACCTCTTCGACTCCTAATTGATTTGACGCTGATGCGCCCGAAAATGGCTAATGTAGCCAATCTTGGCAGCAAACTCTCTTGCACAGTGAGGGCAGGTGAGTACGCCGCCTACATAGTTATAAATAAAGATGGCTGGACGGGCCTTTAGGTCATCGCGCTTAGCATTGAGGTCAGCCTTACGCTGATCTTCAAACTCGCGGATACGGCTCTTAACAATTCCGCGCCACTCCGGACACTGCGCTGCCAAAACCTCCCAATTTGAGGGCTCTATGTTGCATCTCTTCATATGTCGTTTCTGAATATCTTTGTATCTGAGGAGTTGACCGCCATGTTTCCGCTTCCCCTCCTCTAGTTCAGAGTAAAAGATGCGTTTCGCCACTCTTTCCTCCGCCATACGCAAGACATGACCGCACCACCGAAGCTATATTAATGCGTCGGCATTAAATAGGCCTCAATGCCACCGACATTGGCTCGTCGCAAAACTTCAGTATTACGGACTCGGTTGGACCATCTGATCTTCATGATGGTACGAAGGCACTTAAGGTGGAACCGATCCAAAGTACGAATGTGGTGGCGATACACACACCATGTCTCGGAGGAGTATAAGAGGCTTGGCAGCACAACCGCCATGTAAACTGACATTTTTGTTGCTAGCTTAAGGTCGTGCGAGCAGAAGACTTTAGAATGTAGCTTACCAAATGTGGCAGCTGCAGCACTGATCCTACTGTTGATTTCAGCGTCAAGGTCACAGTTAGATTTAATAGTGCTAACCAGATATCTAAACTTATCGACCTGATTCAACACATCCTCACCAAGCTTAATAGTTAGTGTCTCACGACCATGTATGTCCATGGACATCACCTCCGTCTTTTTGACACTAATCTTCAGACCCAACTTACAGCATGCTTGGTGGAGAACAGACATCAGCTTTTGTAGACCTTGTGAGGATTCTGCTAAAAAGCACAAGTCATCAGCATACATAATCTCTTTAATTAATGCATACGAGACTTTGGTGCGCGCTTTAAGTCTGGCCAAGTTAAAAAGACTACCATCTGTTCGGAAGCGGATGCGAACACCTTCGGGAACCGTTTGTAAGACTTCTCTGACAACGACTGCAAAATAAATGGCAAATAGTGTGGGCGCTAAGACACACCCTTGTTTCACTCCACAGGTAACGGAGAAAAAGTCTGACTGTTCACCATCTACGGAGACGCAGCATTGCATATCGTCATGCAGAAGTCTCAGAAGCCTCACAAACTTTCCCGTACACTCCAGCCTTCCTAGCACCATCCAGAGAGCTCCAAGAGGCACACTGTCGAAAGCTTTCTCTAAGTCTACAAAGCAGAGATATAACTGACGTCGCTGCTCTCTACTTTTTTCTTGGAGTTGGCGTATAGAGAAAATAGCTTCATAGGTGCCTCGGTCAGGCCGGAAGCCAAACTGGGTTTCAGGCAGAATCTTTTCCGACAAAAGCTTCAGGCGGTTTAATAGGACTCTTGCAAAGACCTTTCTAGGAGCAGTCAGAAGCGAAATACCGCGGTGCGAGTTGCAGTCGGAGCGATCACCCTTGTTCTTGTAAATAGGAATTATGCGCGACACTTTGAAATCATCCGGGACTTGTTCCTCCTCCCACATACGAACAAATAGTTCCCACACCAAAGTGTGCAACTCCTCACCGCCGTACTTAAGCAGCTCACCTCGTATAAGGTCAATGCCAGCCGCCCTTTGGTTTTGTTGCTGTCTGATGGCAATGACAACCTCGTCACACGACAGAGGTTGGTCCAGCTCAGTAGCTAGGGGGAGTTGAGGCATTAAACTGATATTCTGAAGATCCGCTAATCGATCTACGTTGAGCAATGTATTAAAATGTTCGGCCCAACGCTTTAGTACATGCCCTGAGAGCTTCGTCATTCTCATCGAACCAGTCTTCATTACGACGGTGTTTTACACCTAAAGTAACTGAGGCAGTCTCCATGAGATGAGAAGACAACGCACCCCAAGCAGAGCTGAAATCACCAATCTCACTCACTGGCGACAGCTTTCTAGATAAGACTTCAGCATAAGTCTCCCTGACCTCGCGATTTTTTAGCCTCTCTACGTTCAAAGACGCAGGCTTTCTTATTTGAAATCTACGCGGTCTACGGAGGCGGAGTCGCAGTTTAGTGACAATAAGGCGGTGTTCAGTCCAGCAGTGTGCGTCGCGCATGACGCGGGTGATTTGGACTTGACTGATATCTCTTTGTCGTACGACAGCATAATTGATCAAGTGCCAGTGCTTGGATCTTGGGTGCATCCACATAGTCTTGTGCTTGCCTGGAAGTCTGAACATTGTGTTCGTTATTGCAAGTTCGTATTGAGCACAAAGGCTGAGTAGCAACTGACCATTACTGTTCATTTTGCCAACTCCGTGTCTACCCAGAACTCCAGGCCAAGCCTCATAGTCCCAACCAACTCTGGCATTGAAATCTCCTAGCAATAGAACCTGCTCTCTGGAGCTGATGCTGTTAAGGCATTGAGATAATTCTTCATAGAATTTGTCCTTGATATCATCAGACTTGTCCAGCGTTGGAGCATAGACACTGATGATATTAAGGAAATTTTCTTTATCCAGGTGAAGGCGCAAGGTGGTCACGCGGTCCGAAATGTGTACAGGGTACTACTCAAGTCGCTTAACTAAGTGATTCTTGATGGCAAATCCTACACCTGAAAATCGAGGTCCTGAGCAAGCGGTACCTTTCCAGAAGAAAGTATAGCCACCGCCATCTTCCACCAGCTCTCCTTCATCAGCAAGATGGGTTTCGCTGAGCGCAGCTACATCCACATCATAACGAAAAAGTTCACGAGCTACTATGGCGGTTTTACGTTCAGGGCAGGCGTTGCCATCTCGATCAATAAGCGTTCTCACGTTCCACGCGCCAAATGTCATGACAAATGGTTTCATGGTGTTTTTATTGTTTAAGTTACGTCGACCACGAATTAGGGTGATGCGGTGGCAGCCGTGGTTACTACCACCTTTCTAGTAGGGACGAGCATTTTTTTAGGGCACATTTTCTAGCCCCTTCCCCGGCTGAGCGAGGAAAGCACTGCCTCCCTAAATAGGGCTTCTTTGTCATCCCAGGTGCTGCCGAATCCACACTGTCGCCCCCATTTGCAGTGCGAAAGCGACCACGGCATGTAATCACACCCCTGGGACCTCCCGTGTGCAGGAGTCAGACAAAGCCCAACCTGCATCAAGCCAGACCTCTCTATTTCCTCCCATCGCTACGGGACTTTACGTCATCGGAGTCCATTATACGGAAGCGGTCAGATACGCAGGATATATTAAGGTGCGCAAGCGTTCGCGCACACGCAGGAGCACGCACTCGTCCTTCCACTCCTTGATTCAGTGGAACGGTAAACCGCTACGACCGAAGGAGAGGTCAGATGTTGGGTCTGGCCGACGTTCAGCGACGGCCGGCAAATTCTGCCTTTACGAGTACTTAGGATAGATACAGTAGAATACGAAGATCTTTTAATTACTGAGGATTATAGTATTTGGGTATACGTTTTACTATCACAGTTTTTTGTAATATATCAGATTGAGAAGATACTGAGAGTGATGTAATTATAATATTTGTTATCGGTCAGAGAGGAAGTCATACGTAGCAATTCAAGGGAATTTTCATCAATGTCCTTAACGTTTGACTTTTGGCTACTGTTTTGGCAATATTATCTACCATGTTATAACGACAGCTTTGTAAGTATGTGGTTTAAGTTCATTGTTATGTATTCTACGATCTTTAAGCGAAATTAAAGAATTCATACATTCACTAAAAACTTTTGTGGGTAAGCCATGTTCTTTAAACACGCACTGTATGTATTGCAATTTTGACAAAGGATTACAGTTATAATCATTAGTTATCATAAAGAAATCTTATTTCATCGATTATTACCACTTCGAAAAGTACAAAAACCAGCACAAGAGTACTATCGAGATTTTCTTAGTGTTTATTCTTGTCCTTTAATTTTCTGAGAGATTGATGAGCAATGACTTTTCACATAAACAAAATGACATATTCGAGCAGAATGATTGGAAGAAATAGGCCAGAACGATTATTAATGTAACTATCCATGTCATCCTGATCTCTTATTAATGGATATGAAAAAAAAAATAACGAACACCGATATTAACAACAGATGTATACTCACTTTCTTGAGGACGCTATTATTAATATTAAATTTATTTTCTAACCTACTTACCGCACACAGCATCCAGCGTATAGGTACTAATGTAGGGCCACATGCGAACTTGCCCGCGGCCTACACACTCACCCAACCTGCCTACCAGATGCTCACTTTGCTCCGAAAATATGTCCACGAAATTTTCCACTATTTTCGGACTAAAAGCGGGAATTAAGATCTTCCTTCGTTTTTTCCAAATCGCAACTAAAAATGTAACAGATCATACAAATTTCGTGAAAGAATTATGATGGCTCGAAAAACGAACGGAAATTTAAATTAATGATTTATTTTAATTAAAAAGATTTGCCCACGATCACACAATGCCTGTTAAAGAAGAAACAAATAGAAGTTGGCAAATATGAAGCTTTTATAGAAGCACGTTGTGTAGATAAATACAGCAAAAAAAGTATTAAAAATATTTTAGAATACATGACTATAAATTCAAGTTGTACTTAGTCTTACCAAGACAAAGTACTACTTGAATTTATAAAGTCAGAGACGATATTTTGTGCTTCCGTGAAATATACAGATCCGATGGAGTGGGTTGTTTTCCTAAGTGAACGAATTTACGTAAAGTACGACCGTAAAAAGAGTTTAAATCTATTGACAAATAAAAATTACCTGGTGCAAATATTCCACCGTTTCCTATGACACATCTCATGAAACGATGCAAGTCATCTTTCTCCATACAAGTCTTCAGTATCACCTCCAGGTCGACTGGATCTTGGACAACTGAATAATTATACTTGTTACAAAATCCGTCAAGTTAAAATCAGTAAAAGTACTTTCATTTATAAAAGAGTAATTTTTTTGGCAATAAGTTCTGTGGTTACAGAAAATTTAGTGCTAGTTCAAAGTGGTTAAAATAAAGAGCTTTTAAATGCAGTTAGGGCATGGCAAATATTTTCAATATTAATATTTTCAATATTTACATTTATTTTTACATTGTATTTCTATTTTGTGTGGAAGAGGTTGGGTAGTAGTCCCAAAGATCACTGCGACCTATCGTCGCCTTCATAACAAAGACATAAAGCCTGTTGACACAAAGCAAACATTTATAAAAAATCATGAGAATTTTTATTCAATTTCTGAATTATTATGTTTCTGCCCATATAAACATTGCGTTCTTGCATGAAACCATATTAAATTATTAAAACTGGTCAGAAGAACAATCTTTATTTAATTATCTTAGCCCATTTCGTTTAGATCTCGTCATCATATAAGTGAGGGATGCGGAGAGCCACATTCAATGTTGTAAGCATAGAGATGTTCGTTGTCGTCAGGGTCACATGTGGTTTTCCGGGGCGATGATTGCGTTTTTGTGTTTCCGTGTCCCCGGAAAAAGCGACAGCACAGATGCAACATGCTTTTTTGAGTACCGCCTGTGTCTCGGAAACTCCCACATACCCCTGCTGCTTTTCCACAAGGCGGCGGAATCATAAAAGATTTTTCCCATGTAAAAAGAGGCGTGTCCACGTGTAGTTTTTCTCACTAACTGGCAAGGAATCCGCTTGCTCGGTAGCCTTATTGCATAGTATAAGAAAATAAAAACAAATAAAAGAATTCTACTTACTAAAATAAAGTATATGGCCAAGCCAGCCGTGTAAAATACCATTTTTCTCCATAGTTTCATAACTGTAATGTTGCAAAGAGCTCAGTATATCTGGAAATAAAACGGTGACTTCATTGAGAATAAACAAAAAAGGAATTTCGTGAGCTATTTACAATCATGAAAGTGAAATCTATAAATAAGTAATAATAAAAAATAAACAAATTGAGTAAGGAAGTTGTGTCTTGATACGTTTAATTTAACGTATGAAATTTTAACAACAACAATTTAAATAGTAAACGTAAAAAAACACGTTAAAAGGGCAAGAATACCTTGGATGCTGGCTGGACTCGAAGCTCATGCCTGCGTATACTAAGAAGTTGACTTTTTAACATTTCTTACAAGAAAAAGCTCATCGTGAGCTATCAGCTATTGTTAATTAATAATATGAATATAAATGACTAAATAAATATTGCGTCTAAGTGAGTAAAGAAAATAAGTCTTATTTTAATTATTAACGTTTTAGACTGTATGTAATGTGTTCTTTGGATAAAATTGTTTTTAAAAATTTAGATAACATTTCATCGAACAGATTCAAGCCAATTTGTGAAATCGATTTTTAAATGTGACAGGGCCACCCGACACTGTTCGATTTTGCACAAATGGGCAGGCCCACCCGGTTAAGTCCCACGACCTCACGACCGGCGTGGAGTGGAAGCGTTATCCTTTCGCGTTTAGTCTGTTGAGTGAGGTAGCGGGGCCCACATTTTACAAGGCGGCAACGCATCCGCAACCCTCCAGGTGTTGCAGATGTCCATGGGCGGTGGTTATCACTATCAGGTGAACCGCCAGCTCGCTTGCCACCTTCACCAAGTGAGGAGTTGCATTTCATTTCACCATTTTGTATATAGATCGTGCGTGTTTTGTACGAAAAATTGCGAACCCCATACGTTACCTTCAGTACTCCCTATCAGGGTATGAGCTACCCCTATTATAGGTAACTCTTTCTGCATCCCGGGGATCGCAGAAGCTAATTTGTACAGGTGTCTCCTCCTGAACCTGAAGATGATGAACAACACCACAATACAGAACAACCAGAGAAACATGACGCACTCCACTGAAGTATATCGCGCGGCGAATTGTATATTGGCGGCACTTCGCGCGTATCTGTAGCAGCGACATGCGATAACTTTTATATATACGTACATTGTGCTCTTTACATACCTACAAAGTCCAGATTATCCATCCCCACTGCGCCTAAAGCAGCCAAGCAGAAATCTAACAGTTCATGACGTGTAACTTAGTAAAATTAATCTACGATTGAATTGTGCACGTTTTTACAACTTGGAGCAATTCGTTGGTTATTTTTGAATTTGTTTCAAATCATTTTTCTTTTAATTTAATTTGCAAGCTTTATGATACCTACAATAAAAGACAAAAAAGTAATTAATTACTACGATTATTAAACCTTAGAACGATGAAACCGAGATGTACTACGTGTCCATCTAATATTATAAAAAAAAAATCAAATTCAAAATATCTCTATTCAAATAGACGCTTGCGTGTTCTAATAACTAGTTAGGTATAATAGTCTTATTTTAGGCTACGTGAGTATCAATACGGTGGCAGAGCCACGCAACACTGTTGCACGAATGAGCAGGTCCTTCCGGGTAAGTACCGCGACCTCAAAGAAGACGGGCGTAAAGAAGGAGTGTTGCACTTGCGCGTTTCGTTTGGTAAGTAAGGTAACCGGGGCCCACTTTATTTAAAGGTGACATAACTCATTTAACATTTGGCCTCACGGGCTTGCACACAGAGAAAAAATCTCCGAAGCAAACCTCGCTGTTGCATGAATGGGCAAGTCCGTCCGGGTAAGTACCACGATCTCACAGAATACCGGCGTGAAATGGAAATGTTATACTTCTGCGTTTCATCTGATAAGTGAATTCCGACGCACCCGTTACGGTCAGCACTCTCCTTTGTACCGGCTGTGTTCAAGCTACAATGCTATATGCCAGAATTTCGACATATTTAGTGTACGGTGTAGTAACATTAAAAAATATGTAAGGGCTAAACTATAATTTAAAATTTATTTCAATAGTTTTGTTTTAGTTGTAATTTAAAGTTAAGTTTAAATGTTGTTTTATCTATTATTTTTAATTTAGCTTTAATTTCTTTTGTTTTTCATATTTATTTTGTTTGAAAAATTATTTTTTTTTATTTCATTGTACAATTATTTATTGTTGAGAGTGTTTTTTGTGCATTTTGTGTTCGCTCATAGAAGAACATTCACTTGTTTGTTAAGTTCCGTATCAACTTTATCTGTGTCCATTATTCTGTAATGTGAGTGTAATGTTCAGTTTGCGATCCTAATTAAATAAAAAATAAAAAAAAATAAATAAAAAAGTAGCCGGGGCCTAATTTATTAAAAGGTGCCAACGCATCTGCAACCTTTAGGGTGTTGCAAATATAAATGGGCGGCGGTTATCACCTAACGTCAGGGGAATAACCAATTCGATCGCCACCTTCTCACATAAATAAAATACAAACTACTGCGACTTTTTTGTATTGAGAACTAGGTCGTTATACTACGGCCACAAAGATATGGGACTCAAATCCATATTCAACTATGCCACTGGTGCTTGACCATCGCAAGGCTTAAAGGAAATATATTAGGTTGGAGAAAAACTCTTTTCGCAAATAGTATGTATGTACTTATAATATAATCTCTTTGGCTCTACCATTTGTATCTGGCTTTGGTATCATTAAAAAGTTGAAATTAAAAAAAAGATAATTCCAAATTTAAATTAGGAAAATGTGGGATTTTCATTTGTTTTTCTTAATGTTAAGATGGGTGATTCTAATGAAGTAATTCGATAAATTTTTAAAAGGTAAAATGTAAAGCAAGCCGCGAAAAAAATTTGTGATATTTATGGAGTGCAGTGTCTGTGAGAGTAGCAAAAATTTGGTTTAAGCGTTTTCAATCCGGAAATTTTGATGTCAAAGATGCACCTCCCTCTGGGCGCCCTGTTACGGATAAAATGGATGCCATTTTTGAAAAAGTGGAGCAAAATCGGCATATCAGTAGTTTCAATGTAGCTGAAGCACTGGAAATTGACCACAAAACAGTTTTGGCGCATTTGAAAAAAGCTGAGTAATCAAAACAGCTCGATATTTGGGTGCCTCATGAGCTCACTGAAAGAAACCTAATGAACCGTGTACTCATTGTGATTCTTTATTACGACGTAATTAATCCGAGCCATTTTTGAAAAACCTGATAACTGATGATGAAAAGTGGATGACGTACGATAAGAACGTGCGAAAAAAGGTCGTGGTCAAAGGCTAGTCAGGCTTTACAGACTCTGGCAATACCCGGGTAATCTCGCAACAAGGTAATGCTGTGTGAATGGTGGGATTGGAAGGGCAATATTCATTATGAGCTCTTAGCACCAGGCAGGACCATTGATTCTGAACTCTACGGCGAACAACTGATGAGATTAAAGTAAGAAGTTGAGAGAAAGCGGCCGAAATTAATCAACAGTAGGTATGGCTTTTCATCATGATAACGCTAGACCTCACACATCTTTAGCCACTCAACAAAAATTAAGAGAGTTTGACTGGGAGGTGATAATGCATCCGCCGTATCAGGACTATACCTTGCACCTTCAGATTTCCACTTGATGCGGTCTCTTCATAATTCTTTAGGCAGAGTCAGATTAAGATCACAAGAGGACTGCCAAAACCACTTGTCGCAGTTTTTTGATCAGAAGCCCCAGAATTTCTATAGCAATTTGATCATGTCCCTACCTACAAGATGGCAGAAAGTTATCGAACAAAATAGCACATTCATACTTTAGTTAAATGTAAATAAACATTATTAAAAAACGTTTTGAATTTTCATATAAAAGGCGAAGAAACTTTTTCCTCTTCCTATATATGTAAGTAGTCACCGTACATATGGTACAACACTATATTTTTGAGAAGATCGCACCGTGCGTAGAATAACGTTCTGTGGTCACATAGAACGAATTTGATTTTATCATCGGAAAGTCTTAATTATTGTCTACGCTTTCAGATGACATAAATATCTTTTTCGTCTGACTTATAGATATTGAGATTCAGAATAGAACAACGTTCTATCTGATTTATGCTCCGCAGTACAAGGACATATTTACGTTTAGACACTGTCTTTTTGGAACGACTAGACTAAGCTTACTAATGTAATAGACGAGTGTAAAATACTCTATTAGAGTCAATTGATAATTATTGCAGAGTCACCCACTTTTTATGGTTTTTTCGTTGAAAACAAGTGCTACGTGCGTTTGTATCATACATATTTTCTGAGTTTTTAGTAGAACAACGTTATAAATGAACGTGTGACCCATTATTTTTTAGAATGTTCCGTTGAACAACGTTATATAAACGTGTTTATGTGATCTTGTGACCCATTACTGATTGCCATCTTCCGTACGTCACTATTACACATGAAACCTCTTATTTCCTAAATTTATATAATTATTAATTCAAAAAGTATACTGTTTGTTAATATACCTAATTATATCACAAACCTCAAAAATTGTAATAGCAACTGCTATGTATAAGAAAACTATAACCAAAATAAAAAAAATAATAATTTGAATCGGCCGTCCTGAACAATTACAATTTTGCAGATGTCACGTTGTTCTACGCAGAGTGCGTTCTGTATACTATATAAAACGGACCTAAAATTGAGCCTTGCGATACTCCTAGGTCCACAAGTCGCTCAATAAATAGTTTTGTCCCATCCATTTAACTTAACTTCAACTCGCTTTGACATACTTTCAAAGTGTCTATTTATCTAAAAAATTATCTGTTTCAAATTCTTAACACAATACTTTGTTTTTTTGTTGAATTGTATTTCTCAAATTTTTTCAATATTTTCTCAGTTATAATTAGATTAACGCGATGATTAAATGCGAGCGCTCGTCGGATTTAATTTTCAAAATCTGAGTCATTTCCGTCATTTTATTATTTCATTTCTTTAATTAATTTTTACGGTGGTAGGGCCACGCAGCAGCCTCAGCTGTTGTACGAATGCGCAGGCCCGTCCGGGTAAGTACCACGACCTCACAGAAGACCAGCGTAAAGTGGAAGTATGACAAATACTTTCGCGTTTCGTCTGGTGAGTAAGGTAGCCGGGACCTAATTTTCAAAAGGTTGTCAACGCATCTGCAACCCTCGGGTGTGGCAGATGTCCATGGGCGGCGGTATTCACTTAACATCAGGTGGACGTCTGCTAGGTTGACAACTTTTCGCATAAAAAAAATTACGTACGATTGCAATCCATTCAAAGTCGAACCTCATTAGTTAAAATAGTCAATGAAGGAAGAGAAGTTAATACATAATCAGATAAGCACTCGCTACTTTTAAGTAACAACTTTATTTTATATGATAATGTAAAGTTTTACATGAGCACCTTTTTATGTTACATCAAATACTAATAAATACATAAAACAAGTATTTATTATTATGTATAGACAGAAAAAGGAAACCGAACAAGGACAATAGGAAAAAATTCTCACATTAAAATGTTTAACAATTATCGCACTTGCAATGTTAATGTTTGTGCTACAAAAAATTGTTAATGAACTAAAGGATAATTTATTGAAATGTCGCGATAAAATTTTTTGGACCTCGGGTTATTGTTCATTGATCTATCCTGCAAGCGCCTGAATTTTTTCAATTTTTAATTTTCATCTTTAATAAGTTTAAAAAGAAACCCCATTTTCGGGCGTATTTTCAGCCCTCTGGGAAAATTATAAATATTGGTCCTACAGTTCCGAGAGTCGGAGCATTTTTGTAGGAACTTTCTTACTCTTTTAGAATCTTTTTTCAAATTTGAATTATCTCGAATAGTTTTTGAGATATTGGCGAAAAATCAAACGCCCTTTTTTTACAATTAATTATTTTTAACTATTGCAATTAATGAGAGCCACCTTAGTATTTTCTCAAAAACTATCTACATGTCATTCCGAATCGAATGACACAACCTCAGTCATAATTTTCGGAGAAGGCGAAAAAATTTTGACCTAAAAAGCACTCATTGACTTGACTATTAGTATGAAGGCTGAGTACTCACGAGAGAGCCTCCGTTCAGACCGTCACACTGTTATTATTACCAGTTTGGGAGGCCGCCAAACTCTTAGGTCGCTTTGGCGGTCGCTCCATG